TATATATATATATATATATATATATATATATATTCTATTAGAGTATTAGTTTTCTGTTCCATCTTGGAGAATATGCCATTTCATGATGGACTCATCTCATGATGGACTCATCTCATGATGGACTCATCTCGTGATTGACTCATCTCATGATGGACTCATCTCGTGATTGACTCATCTCATGATGGACTCATCTCATGATGGACTCATCTCATGATTGACTCATCTCATGATGGACTCATCTCATGATGGACTCATCTCATGATGGATTCATCTCATGATGGACTCATCTCATGATGGACTCATCTCATGATTGACTCATCTCATGATGGACTCATCTCATGATTGACTCATCTCATGATTGACTCATCTCATGATGGACTCATCTCATGATGGACTCATCTCATGATTGACTCATCTCATGATGGACTCATCTCATGATGGACTCATCTCATGATGGACTCATCTCATGATGGACTCATCTCATGATGGACTCATCTCATGATTGACTCATCTCATGATGGACTCATCTCATGATTGACTCATCTCATGATGGACTCATCTCATGATGGACTCATCTCATGATTGACTCATCTCATGATGGACTCATCTCATGATGGACTCATCTCGTGATGGACTCATCTCATGATGGACTCATCTCATGATTGACTCATCTCATGGTGGACTCATCTCATGATTGATTCATCTCATGATGGACTCATCTCATGATGGACTCATCTCATGATGGACTCATCTCATGATTGACTCATCTCATGATGGACTCATCTCATGATGGACTCATCTCATGATGGACTCATCTCATATTCTAAAAAGATGTGCTGCGATTTGTTTAGTATGAAATCCTGTGTTTATTCAAGCGCCCACATGAACGGATGAGCAGCGAACCGTCTTCACATTTCCTACGTGGCTAGTTCTCATCAAACATTGTACAGGGGAATTAACCCATACATTATTTAACGGCAGTGACATGGAGAGAACATGCCGTGGGTGATGGCAAAGAAGAGATCGAGTGCGGCAAAATCTTCCGCGGGAAGGTAAGTGGAGGTGCCTG